TCCCTTGGTTATTTTAAGCTACCACTCAGGCTTTCTGCTAACCCTTTTTAAGGTTTCCAAATCTCCTTCCAACATTTTGAGTTTCCTCCCACTTAAACTTTCGACCACCAAGTTTTTCCACATTAATTTACTTTCTTGCAACTTAAACTAGAATCAAATATCCTTTCCTATACCTTGCCTTAAAATGGTAATATGTAGGGCTCAAAGGATTTGGCCAAGAAGTTCTTCAAGCCTTTTAGACAAAGTCTCTTCTCGTTTCTTGTTAGTTCCATCTCCAATTTTCAAATTCCAAAACTTTTAAGCTACTTCCTTCTCGTAAACCTCCCCCTTTAGGTATTTTAGTCATCCTCTTAAATGTTTCCTAAAACTTCAGATTTCCTACCATTTGGATTTACCCAAAATTATTTTCTAAATTCACCCTCTTGTCGCAACATTAGACCAAATTTAAATCATCTTTCACGTTTTCCTTTGATTCATTAAGTTTAGGGCTCTAAGGGGGGTTCGGCCAAGACAAAATCAGCCACTAAAGTACACTTCTTTTGATTTAGGTTATGCAACAATGTCAGCTTCAACTCAAGTTCCCTTTTAAACAAGCTTCCAGCTTCTAATTCACCCCATTCAAGGGGGGCTTTCAGCACTTAGTTAGGTTTAAGATTCATCAAATAAGTCACTTAATTGCATAAGAAATAAAGCTGAATCATAAGAACACAGAAGCTCACACAAATTCCACTTAAAACTAACAAAATCTTGAAATTGCATCTAGGGTTGGTTCAGTTTTCCTCCTCTTTTTCTTCCTCTATTTACTGCAAAACATCATAATAAAACCATAAGATTGTGCAGAAACTAAAGCTTAAGTAAAAACATAAACCAATCTAAGCAAAACTTGCAAAAATTCCACTAAAACCAAGAAACTTACCTAGTTGGCTTGCGGATTCCCCCCCCCCCCCTCCTTCTCCTCTTTTTTTTTCTCTTTTCCTTATGCTAAACCAAGCACCCTAAGCCCTTTCTATAGCCAAGAAAGTTGGCCAACCAAGCTTCCTTAAAAAACTTTGGGTGAAATGACTAAAATACCCTTGTTACTAAAGATTTCTTTCCTTTCATTTCCCTATCACCTACTTGCTCTCCCAATTTCCTTTTCTACCATCAGAACATCTACCTCATGCCCTTTTTCCCCTTAGGTTTCTTAGATGATTAATAGGATTGTAAACTAATTAATATCCCTAACCTTCCTTACTTTTCTACATTTTTCTAACCCTAATCTATGTCTTCCTAATCCTTTTATTTTATTTCCATTCCATTCCCTTATCCACCTTATTTCCATTTCAATTTGGTTATCCCTCATTTTTAGGGTCATTTGCAAGAAATTTCAAGTTCTTATCCTTGATTATGCCATAAAATTCATATGATGCCATGTGCGCAATGCCATGAAATAAATCACAAAAATGTTCAAATTGGTATGCATGCAAGCAAGGTTATGCAGTTTTACATATCTATAGACTTCTTGGTTCAGAATATTATAGTTTCGTTTTTACAAAACATTTCGAAACATCACAAAATTAGGTTCTAATTATCAAAAATATATTAAAAATATGTTGTGATATTATAAAACATTTTTGAAAATGTGTTCTGATGCATCAAGGGAGGAAGAAACGTCACATGAATAAATCAAACCCACCTAAGACTTGAGGATCACAGATGGAAATAATTGTTTAGAATTAGGGTTTATCATTATTAGGAATTATCTTTTATTTTAAAAGGAATTTAAATAGATTTATTTTTAAGATTATAATTAAGAGTTTGAGTAGGATTAAAATGCCTTCTATATACATTTTTTTTTTTTTGGTTACACCTTCTATATACATTTTGATTCATTCTTCATATTAAGTATAGAAAGAAATATTAAACCAAATTTTGTCACCTTTAATCCTATAAGAAACTTTGGTTGAGGGTTTCTAAGCATTCAATCATTCATCATTCCAGAACAGCGGGCCGTATTCAGAACATACAAGACAAAGGTGCAAGGCAGACATTCGAATCCCAAAAGATAGACATCTTTTTTTAGTAGCTAACAAGTGGGCCCTTTCCGGGTACCTGCATTCTGAGCGGATAGAGTAATTTTTCTAAGGCTCAACTTCTATTTGGTAAGCATGGCAAGAGATTTTTATCCCCCTTTTTTGTTAATAGAGAAGTTGTAATATGTTTTGAAGTTTTAAAAAAATTAAAAAAACTCAGTTAAATGAAAAAAATAAATATTTTTATAGCTTTTTTTTAATTTTGAACAACAAAAAAATTAGATTGATCTATAAATAAATATTTTTATAATAATTTCTACCTTTTTTCATACTAAACTAAATAACCTAAAAAAGTTGAAAACATAAAAAATCAAAATTTCTTTTTGGTGTGAAATCTGGTTTTTGCAAATATAGGGTATGCTATTTTTCTTTAAAAAGAAGAAATTCAGTATATATTAAATTTTAAATTAATGATATTTTGCATTTTCTGAGACACAGAATAAGGTATCAGGAAATTTGTTTAAAACCCCCTTCCTATGTTACCCAAAAAACACAAAGAACGCAAAGAAGATGACGAAGATATGGATTGCGACTTGATCCACAAATTTGCAATTCCTGTCTATCGAAAACAATTAAGATTAGTTTTAAGAATTTTGTTAGAGATACTTAATTCACCAACTTTTTATGAACCATTCTTTTCTGTAATATAGTAAAAAAAAAAATTTGTTGTATAATTGGATTCCCAAATTCTTTCTAAATTATAGAATGTGAAACGTTTTGGTACACTTACACCTAGATTATTAACCGCAAAATTCCCAAAAACCTACACCAAATAATAAATAAAATAAATCCAAAAATCCTTTTAAAGCAAGAATCCTCAAAGAGGCTTGAGCAACTTGTGTAAGGTTTTTAACCTAAAACCAAATATTATGGGTTTCCATAGCCTGGAACCAAATATCATATAGAGCCACGATGTCTGTTGCATCCTTCTATTTTTAATATTTCTTCCCCTGCTAAGCTTCCCCAACCTTCCGCCACCAATAAAAGACCACCAAGAGGAAGTGATTTTCAAGGAGCAAGTTTTTTCACAAATCCACCTCATCATGCTGTCTAAAACATAATATAACGGTAAGAAAAAAATTAAATAAAAATGCAACAAACATGACAGGAGGACAATGAACATAATTGTATGCTTCTGCCCTCAATGAAACCAACGTGCTCAATTTCATGAAACACAAGGACCAATCTGTTTTTGAAATCTACAAGATCAATCATGGAAGAGGAGGCACAGACACAAAACTTGTAAACTTTAAAATGATAATGGTTAATGATTAGTACCCAAAACATGTTGCATACAATCACTTGATCAAGATCAAGATATTACATTAAACAGCGAACAATGACCATAATTTTTTGCACCTAAAAATGATAGAAGGTCTCACTGCCGAGAAGGAAACCAAATAAAAATGTACTTGATTTATTAAAACATATTTCCTTTTTTGCTTTGCCCATTTAGGAATTCACCATTTCCAAAGCTGGCTTCAAAGACCCCTGCATCCATAAAACTCAGAGCATTTAGTGGGTCTCTCAGATTTCAGCAAATTTATGTATCCTATAATATGCATACTTAAATGCTCAGGCGAAGAATGAGTTCAGGTGCTCATGAACCAAACAAAAAAGCAGCAAAAAGCAGACAGAGAGACGTAGAAAAGAATTCAAGGCAGCTGTCCAACTGACAATATAAGTCCTAACATTATCCTCAAAGAAATCAGCATGGTCATACTTGCTCAAATATATACTAGGAACTGCCCTCAAAGAGGAACAGGGCAACCTATCCAGACTGAATTCTCACTTTCAACTCTCTCAGTGCTTATCCAGGTCATCATGCAATGATTCACAATATGGACAGTACATGTGCCAAGGAACTGATAGAATGCACAGCAGGCTATCAACTTTTTCCCATTTTGGCAAATAAGGAGGCCATGTGCTCCACGCCAGTTTCCTGCGATGGTTTGAAAAAGAGAAAAAATAACAATTAATTTCTAGTGATTAGTCAATGCATTTATCAGATAATTTTTTTTATTATTTGATATCTCATATAAAATACAGCCTATTCTACTAATATTCCCGATAAACTGCACAACCCAAGCTCCACGCCAGTTGCAGCCACAAGTTCCAGCTTTGGAAGCAATATTCCAGAAATCATAATATCTTACTAGAAAAAATATGCTGATAATTTTGTGCTTCTTGCATGTTTTAAACCATCTGAAGTGAAGTTTGTCTTGCTCAAATCTTCTTCCATTATCAGTTAGGTAACTTACAGATCTAGCTGGCTTCCTGTATGCATCTTAATGTCTCCCGCATCAAGGTATTTCAATAATATGCAGATTTTTTGAACATGAACTATAGGGTTGTCTGTTTCTTGTCTTGTGGCTTAAATAATGTACCTAGATTTATTTATGGGTCTCATTTTGTCATAAATTCAAAAGTTTAGTTTTATATTCACAAAATCTTGTCCTAGAATAAATAGAAGAATATTTGTCTAAATATGAGGCAGTTTAATGTGTCTAACTGGCGCACATATCAGTTTTTAAGAATTATTTAGACCTGCTTGTGGTACTGCTTGATGATGGTTTAACTTCATTTTTCTTCTACACCTGCTATATTGCCTACCTTCTTTGACACGCAAACTATAAAATCACTAGAACAAGTTAGAGATGACTGTTGCAAGTCTAACTACCCTGATAAATACAGTGACAAAATTTTAACTGAGGAAATATCATTGATGTTTCTCTTAAATCATCCTCATTATCAGTAAGATAGCCGTGTATAACTTCTCTTCATTGTTGCATAGTTTCATTCATAATGTAAATATTAGTCTTCAGCTCATCAAGCAATTTTCTTTTGCAAGCTAATTAATTCTATGCTATTGTTTCTTCACAGATATATAAACATACATGTACGGGTGATATTGAACATTGCCCCTAGTTACCTGACTTTCTTGATAAGGATGGCTTTAAGCTTGCGCGCAAGGTCTTGGGATCGAAGCTTCTGCTCAAGTTTCTGACGTGCCAACACACGCTTCTCCGAGTTCTTAATATGGTGAGTCTCTTGACGCTTTATTAGCCGTTCCATCCCACTAGATTGCATCTTTCTCTGCAACACCACCAATGCTCGTTCCAGATTGCCATCAAAGACCTTTACGCGAATTCCTCGCCATTGTTGAAGCCCCCAGCTTAATGAGCTCAGTGCACCACCAGGGCGTGCAAAGAGAGTCCACGTATTCCTTACAGTGGAATTCATTTCTAATTTTCTTCTACTCTGTATTCAATGATACATTTATATGGGATGGTGAGATAAGAAATTATTACATCAATTAGGTTAAAAAGAAGGTATTATTTAGTTTCCTTACCATTTCATTTAGACAACAAGGTAAAAAAGTACAAGAAATGAAAGCTATTTCTTAACCAAATTGCTTGGTAAGATTACAGGAATGTTTGATTGGCTGGACTTTTTGGATTTCTAACCCTTTATTTCAGAAGAATAATTATGGAATTTTGGGATGTTTGCTTGGTTTTAAAAGAACTTGTGATCCGTCTCATGATTCACCTATCTATCATATTCTTCGAACTCTTCCTCACATTCTAGAAAGACCCATTATTTGCGTTGCTGAAAGATCATGAAATGAAGAACAATATGCAAGTTAGCTTCAGTTGGACTCATGATCCGTCTCATGATTTACACATCTATTGTACTCTTCCAACTATCCCCCCCCCCCCCAAATTCTAGAAAGACCCATTCAGACTTCATCTATCAATCAAAATCATATACCAAAATGGCACATATTTCCAGATCTTAGTCAGCTAAAGTTGAATAAAAAATGAATCATATTACATCTTCCATTTTGTTTTCCTATTTAAAAAAAAAAAAAAAGGATATCTGCTCACTAAAATGCTGTCTTCCTAACACCACAGTCTTCATTCAAGAAAAACAACAGAAAACTAAGTTATGATACTAGTATTAGTTCAGGTTTGAAACATCATATTTCACTAAAAATAACAATTAAGGAAGAAGCACTACATGGAAAAGAATCAATGCACTAGAAACAAAAAAATAATTCAGAAAAGAAACAAGCACTGAAGCCACATTTCATCTGGCAGACATCACAGGAGGACAAGATGATTGCTCAAGGGCAATAATAAATATCCATGGTAATAAGATATTAAGTCTCAAGGCAGTAGTAAATAAATATTAAGTTTTAAGGGCACTCATCACATTTCCATTTACGGCCAATTCTTATAGTTCACAAGTTTTTAACCTTTGCTATTTAATTTTCAACAAAATCCCTTGAGCAATCTTTACAACATGTGATGATTTAAACCAAACAATAAGTGGTTTATGTATCATCATTCTTTCTGACTGTTTGTTTGTTTATAGCACATTCGTTCTGTATTCAAAGGCTTTGTTTTTAGTATCTACTACTAGTTATTTGTTAGGAAAGCATTTAAATCAATTTTTTGAATTTAAGCCAATACTAAGTTCTCCACAAAATAGTAACTGAGTTGTACATTTATTGTATGTTACCTTCTCCTTAGTTTTTTTAACAAGATGGTGATTCAATTAAAAACTTGGGTGAGGACTCTGGCATTAAAAAGAAAGCAATTTAGCGAGTATTTTTTTAATGGAATATGCAACATATGTTAGATTTGTTTGATTTAACAGTAGCTGGCCAAAATCCAGATGTATAAGCTTGACATTTGATTTTCATTGATAGGTAAAGTTGTGAAGACTGTTGAAAATATAATAGTTGATTTTCATTGAGAGGTAAAGTTGTGAGAATTATTGAAAATATAACATTTGATTCTAGTTGAAAGGTAAAGTTGTGAGGATTGTGAAAAATATAATAGATCAGTGAATCTATGAGAATATGAACTGAAGATGACTACCACCACAAATCCAACTACAGGTGCTTTTCCATGGCCATCTTTATTCAATGAAATAATGGTACATATGTTTCCGCCTCATTTAAAACAAAAGCAGTCTTAATTTGTGAATAAAAACACTTTTACAGTAATACTGATCTTAGGTTTAAACCAAAAGGAAATGTATCATTTGTCTTTCCTTCAATTATTGAGTGAAGATTGATTTCAAAGGTAAAATGATTTTAATCCCCAATCCTGCATACACTGATAGGTAAATAGCGAAGTAACATGGATCAATTTCCTTTCCTTTTTTTTCCCCCTTTCTTGCATATAGGATGTCAAGGGGGCTGGGCTAGAACCCCCATCCCAAATAAGAGGTCCAAATTGCTCATGTCCACCTCCACATGTTCTGTGCCATGTGAGGATTGTTAAAGATAATTTCTTGTAATTATCTTAAATTAGGATTTATTTTGTTATATAATTATCTTTAGAGATGTAGTAGAGTTTTACTAGGATTATATTTCCTATTAGAACTAGGATTAGTTTTTTTATAAATAGGACCCTTTGTAAATCATTTAAGGCATGGAATAAAGTTTAAGTGTTTACTTTTCCATCGGTAGTATCAGAGCCATCTCCTTAGGATCCTTCTGCAGTAAGGACCTAAGTGAAGAAATTGAGAGATTGAGGGTTTTTATACCAAGTCCATTCCGCAGAGGGGCTTAGGTGAAGATAGTACAAAATTCAGGGACCTGAACTTAAATAAGTTCAGAGTCTAGAGTGAAAATCCGGAGAGTTGAAGGACTGAACCGCAAAACAGAATCTTCGGAGGACCAAACCACAATTTGGTCATCTTCTTCCTTGGAGCAGTTCCGACTGAAGCAGATCCGTCCAACTGTTGCAAAATCCGACAGACCCAAAGCAGTTCCGTCCGAAGCAGATCCTTCCAAACTGTTGCAGATCCGTCTGACTGAAGCAGATCTATCCAACCTGTTGCAGATCCAATCCGTCCAACCTGTTGCAGATCCGTCCGACAGAACAGGTCCAGTCACCTGAACAGGATCCGTCCGACTGTAGCAGGTCCAAGCCGACTGGGCAGATCCGCTGCTGCTGATCCAGAACCAAAGCAGTCAAGCCAATCTGACAGATCCAGTCACTCGACGTTGCAGATCCGTCCGACAGAACAGGTCCAGTCACCCGAACAGGATCCGTCCAACTGTAGCAGGACCAAGCCGACTGAGCAGATTCAGATCCAACCAATTGCAGCAGAACAATCCAATCTGGCCGAAGCTGAAGCTGGTCCGGCCGAACCCCAAGAAGTTCCAACCGAAGCTGTCCATCCAAACCGTTGCAGAAGACCGACTGAGCAGATTAACGGCAGATCCGAAACAGATCTTCACCTACTGTAGCAGATCTGATACAACTGGAGCAGAAACGATCCGCGAAGATCCAAAGCAAATCCAACTGACGGTAGCAGAACCAACCAATCCGAAAGCAAACCCGACCGACTGCCAGAACTGATCTGCGAAGATCAGACTGATCTGAAGCAGATACCAGACTGTCCAGACTATTTGCAGAGATCCAATCCAGATACCAGACTGTCCAGACTATTTGCAACGATCTGATCCAGAATCCAAGACGGTCCAGACTTGCTGCAGATTAGTTTGACAGAAAAGATCAGATTCAGAAACTTCAACCCGTCCCTGCAGAAAACAGCGGAAGCCAACCTGCAGACCAGAAGAGGCTTTGCCTGACCCGGCCTGTGTGAAACGGTCCAACCCGACCCGGTCCGACCCGACCCACTGAACCGGGTTGACCCGACCTGGTCCACCTGAACCGGACCAACCAGAATCTGTCCATCTAAACTGGATCACTTGAACCAGCTGAACCAAACCGACCAGAATCAAACCGGCAGATTTGAACCAGACTATCCAAAAAGCCTAGAAGTGAACCGGATCAATCAAAACACTTGAGGAAAGATAAAAAGAGCTTCCAATGGCATCTGACAGCTTCATACAACCCGCCATTCCACAGTTTGATGGACATTATGACCACTGGAGCATGTTGATGGAGAATTTTTTGATATTCAAAGAATATTGGCAGGTTGTTAGTGAAGGTATTACAGACCCTTTATCCAAAACCGAAGGCGGAGTAGAACCATCAACACCAACAGTATTGATAGCTGTCCAAAGGACAGAATTGGAGAGTTTAAAGCTGAAAAACCTAAAGGCTAAAAATTATCTCTTCCAAGCAATAGACCGAACGGTCTTGGAGACTATTCTCAACAAGGAGACTTCAAAGGACATATGGGACTCCATGAAAAAGAAATATCAAGGCTCATCAAGAGTGAAGCGTGCACAGCTTCAAGCCTTGAGACGAGACTTCGAGATTTCGAGATGAAAGACGGTGAGTCTATCACGAGCTATTTTTCCCGAACCGTGGAGATTGTCAACAAGATGTGGTTTCAAGGAGAGAAGATGGAAGATGTCACCACTGTTGAAAAGATCTTGCACTCTCTAACACCGAGGTATGATTTTGTTGTTTGCTCCATTGAGGAATCTAAAGATCTTGATTTACTCTCAGTTGATGAACTCCAAAGCTCCCTTCTGGTACACAAGCAAAAGTTGACCCGAAGTTCAACTAAGGAGGAACAAGCCCTTAAGGCCTATACTCCTTTCCGATCTTCGAACTCTAGAGGAAGAGGTCGGGGAAGAGGAAGAGGAAGGGGGAAAGGAAGAGAAGGATAGGGTTCCAAAGATGGAGACAAACAACAGGAACAGCATCCAAAAGCCAACAACAACCAAGGTTGAGGGAGAGGACGGCATAACAAATCTAAGGTCGAATGTTATAAGTGTCACAAATTCGGCCACTACAGTTATGATTGCTACACCAAAATGCCGAATAAAGGAAGAGGGGAGAAAACAAACTTTGCAGAACAACAGGAATAGCAGCATGATGTTGAAACCATTCTGATGGCCACCCACGACATAAATCCATCCGAATCAGATGTATGGTATGTAGACACGGATGCAGCAATCACATGTGCAGAAGTAAGTCACTTTTCTCAAATCTAAATGAAAATTTTCAATCAACTATTCGCTTTGGTGATAGCTCTGCAATTGAGGTACTCGGAAAAGGTGATATTAACATCCGCACTAAGAATGGCTTTGTAGAAACCATCTCCAACGTCTTCTATGTGCCAGACTTGAAAAGTAACTTGTTGAGCATTGGACAACTGCAAGTGAAGGGTTATGTAATAATCATCCAAAAAGGATCATGCGAGATATATGATCCTAAAAGAGGAGCCATTGCTGCCATCAAGATGAGCACAAACAGGTTATTCCCCTTAAAACTTCAACATGCTCCTTCCTGTTTTCTGACAGA